TGTAACTCAAACTTCAGAAAACTGGAAAAAAATATTTGAAAGGAAATATTTGCATGTTTGGGTAATATCAAACTAAACTTACAATTCTTGATTACCCAGAACATTTTAAGTATATTCGGATTAATATTGTGAAGGTTCACATGAATTCCCATTCAGAATAGGTTTTTGGCTGTAGTGATAGCAGTAGGTAGATTTATGGCAAGACTAATGTGTGCCATTCAGGGAGGTCTTGGACTATAATTGCATCATTTCCTAGTGAAATAACATAGCTGCTACTTTTTGATTTGTCTGATTTATATGCTTTGAGCAAAAAGTTACATTCCTTGAATAATATTCCCAGTTCAGCTTATTATGTTATAAAGGCACATGAATTTTCATTTCCTATTTGTATTGAACTTGCATTTCCAAGCCCATAAATTTACCTTATCTATCAAGTGAACTTTCTTGGTTAATAGAACAGTAATGATAGTAAAATAAAGTAATAGTTGATAAAACCCTTTGTGAGTTGAGGATACATAGGGATAATAGCTTGTCTGACATTCTTTAGAGCCAATATTTACCTTTATAGCTACTTATGGCCTCCTGAGACCCATCCATTGTGTAATTCCCATTAAGAGCTGGTAGTAAAACAGCCTGTTGTCTTACTATTTTTCCCATTAAGAACACCAGTAGTTATAAATAGCGTGTCTTACATTTAGATGTATAGCAGGCATATGGTTTTATTCTCCCTAGAGGTTTGTCACTTCTTGATTTATCGGTCACATTATTTTTTCCTTTTTTTAATTTGTCTTTTTTTAATTTCCATTTTATTTCACTTCCTTCTTTGCACTAGACATTCATGACAAACAAAAGCTTGCATCTAACCATGTGCTCACCCATCTTTTAAAATCCATTTTTATTATCAACTTCAACGTTATATACGTACTTTGAGAATAGTATTTTATGATACCTAATTTGTAAAGAACTATTTCTAGACTCCTGGATTTCTGGTGAACTAATACACTTCTAGGTCAGACTCTATAAAAACTTTCCTGGCTGGGAAAATACCTAGGAAGTGTAAGTTTATGTCAGCAATAAGTGAATCACTTATATAAGGATTGTAATAGCAGATTTTGAAGAAAAGGTATCTCCCTATTCTCTCTACTTTGGTAAACATATTTTTCAGTTGATGAACTGAAAATCCCTAATTTTCTAATTCTGGCTTCTTCTTTTTCCGTGCTATTATTAATTAGATTCACCATGGATGATGTTAATAACATCCAAGTCCATTCCTTTCCCAAGCATTTCATTTGTTGGTTTCTTTCTGCTTATTTCAAAGCCTGAGTTTCTCATTCATCTCCCCAAAGGCCCATTGCAATTTTCCATGGTAACTACAGATACAGACGCTGGAGTTTTCAGGCCCATTCAGCAGATTGGGTGCAGGAAAAACAATAATGAAATAATTGAGGATGTTCCTTCATCCTGGATCCTAATTTGCATTAATCCATGCTTTGCCAGAAGGACTTGCTGACAAATGTTGAGAGAGCATCATAGCCCCCAAATAGTTTCAATACAACCCCATTTGCTTCTGACTTCAATTTCTTGGTATTACTACAATTGATAAATGTCCATGAAGCTTCTCAATCATCCAGGTCATGGTTGTCCCAAAAGTGCTTTTTCAAGAGGCAAACCCCAGACGTTTCTTGGATGAGAAGCGAAATGTCTTCAATGAAAAAAACCAGAAAGTCCAGTTGCCTTTTGAAAAAGCACTTTTGGGACAACCACCATTGATGTCCTCCCAGCTACAATTTGGTACCAAGGATTGACATCCTTGCCGAGCATCCCTTCTGTTGGTTCTGAGTTTTGGAGCCCAAGTTTTCTATTATGTAAAGGCAAAGATAGAAAATTTGACAGCAGTTGTTACTGCTGGCTCCTAGTGCTGTACATGGACACCAATTGAACAATGAAGCAAAAAAATTAAAAATGTGATGCACAAGAGGAAGGGAAGGAATAAGGAAAAGTCTAAGGTTGTGCTTCAAAATTAAAACAAATTAATATTTTATTTTAATTATTAATTTTTCCCTAGATTGTATGCCTGGACAAAATAAATAAATAAAAAAAGAGAACACTTCAACCTGCAGAGTTATGGCTACAGTCAGTGTAAGACAAAGGAAGAGAAGTTTTCTGAACAGTTAAAAGAAAGATTAGAAAAGAAAGCAGCTAATTGGATCAGGAAAATTTCAGCTCCTACAAAAGATGGAAGGACTACAATTCTCTCTTTAGTCTCTGAAGATGAAAATGGTCCTTAATCTTCAGGAAATTGCCTTTTTGGTGCACAAGGCAGAATAGGATGTTCCATCTAGCCAAGGGTCATTGCTTGTTTAATAATGAGTGCCTTCATAATTATGCATTTATGAAATTTACAATGTTTGAAAACAAGCTTTGAAATTTATATGAAAAAAACTGCACAGTGTCAAAGTGTCATGCAACAAACAACCAGCGTTTGAAGAAGGTAAAAGTAGGTCTACCAAACAAAAGATACTTAAATCAGTATGGGCAGTTAAACTTGACCAGAGAAGAAGAAATACTAGTTGTCTTCCTTCTAAATTCATTGCCTAGAAGTTACCAAGCATGTTAATTTTGTGATTAATCATTTACAATTATTTACATAATTCTGAAGGAGAGGATTGCAGTTCTCATCTGAAGAACCTGTTTAGGAAAAAAGAAAGGAAATGCTTCATTCATAATGGCTCATTGGCAACTCAGAAAAGTTGAAGAGCAACAAGGCAAACCTGTTGCCAGCATTTAAAAAAAAAAGCCAGAAAGAGACACACCAATGAATGGAAGAATGAATCTGAGGGAAGAGGGGGGTGGAGAAGGAGAGAGTGTGTGTGTGTGTTTTGAGAGGAGAAAAAGGAAGAGACCTGGAAGATGGACTGGAAAAAGCCAGGGGGGAAAAAGGACTGAGAAAGGGAGATATCTTGGCACCTGCAAAGGCAGAGACAGTGTTGCTCTGAGGCAAATATATATATATATGCTGTGGCCATAAGAGAAGTGACAATCCTAATCCAGAGGTGGAATTTAGAAACAGCTGCATTCCTGATCCAGCTGCAGTCTCCTGAATTATCACCTCTGGCTAGAGAGGAGTATTATCTTAATTAAAGCCCCATAAATTTCACAAGGTGTGTTGATGTCAGGCAGGCTGATCATCTGACAAGAGAGACAGAAGGACCTAATCACAAGCGGTTCATTTGCCGGTGAGCGCTACACAACGAACTCTTCACTTTTTCCATTAATTTCCATATCAGGATATATCCAGGAGTCTGGATGATGCATTTTGGATGGGTTTTCTTGGCAGTATCTAAGCCTCACTTTGAGACCCAGCCAGAATATCAGTCATCCAATTTTGAGAGAAGATATTTTGGCTGGAGAAAGCACACCTACATACCCTGTTATTTTGTTAGTTTCTTTTTCATATGAAATGATATCTTCATTGGTATACCCACATTCATGAAGTACCCATTTCATAAGCTAATATTTTTGGCCAAGACCGCAACTGATGAAGTAGGAAAAACTGCTTAAATGAATTTCTTCCATATCTCTAACATATATTCAGTTCTGCTGCATTTTCTTGATTCTTGGCACAAATCTATTTTATATATTTGGTCAAAGGACAAAGCAAAATTTATTTTTGCCTGGTTTGTATAATACTAGATCATAGTTCCTCTTGATAGTAGAATGCATCATTGGTTTTTATAGGGTGTTCAGTAATCAGAACAGTCTCGTGCCTACTAGACAATATTATAAAAGGAGAAAAAGTAGAGATTTCAGTGTTTTGTTGAAAACTGTAATCAATAGCTATGTTGTGAATACAAAGTGTAGTCTGATGTTTTAAAACTCCACAGCAGTTCAATCAAATGAGATTATCAGCATCAGTGATGTTTTAGTTCATCTATCTCTCTGCAATGAGATGAAAATTCAGGCTGTGACATCTTTTGGAAGCTTTTAGTTTGACCATTTAATTTGAATGGAAGAACTTGTAAATGTATGTACTAAGACAATGATAGGGTAATATTTCTAATCGTCACAGGAAATCTTAAGAACTCTTATGCCATTCTATTTTATTGAATTGATTTGATATTTGGCAGTGACAAAAAGTGTAGCTTTCCACAGTCACATTTTAGGTTTTTAAGCAGTTTTGAGGATTATTTTAAAATCAATGAGCATTAGGGATGAAGCGATGATGGCTGCAGCACCTGGAAAGAAGGAAAACTGAGGTGTGTGGTTGGAAAAACTCGTGTGGGAGAAAAAGATGAAATACAAGATGATTGATTATTATATTTATGATAAGCCTTCCATATCTGCTTCAGCTTTTATTTTTATTAGGCTTTGTGAGAATTATATGTAGTAGATAAGAAAATGTCTTCAAGTCATTCACTGTTATTGAATTGGATTTGAAAGGCTGGAATCAAAGCATCTGAATGAACACTCACCCGTGCTTTATGCTTTCATTTGGGTTGTTCTCTTCTTGGGTTTACTATGCATTTAATAGTCCATCTCAAGACATAAAGCATGGGTCATAAATCAAAGGAAACACATCAAACAAGGACTATGTTGTAAAAAAAAACAGAATAATGCTTCAAACAATATGTACAAACAGCAGGAGCTGCTCTTCTTTTTCTTTTTCACATCTCTTATCAAATTTTCTCTGACATATAATCTAAATCATTCCGTCTTTCCTATGTAGCAGAGCAAAAGGGATATTGGCCTGCATGGTCATTTATAAACATAAATAAGCCAAGTAAAACATTCACTTGTGTTACTCGTAGTTTTTGTTTTAAACTTTATTAGTATAATAGAATTACAGTTCAACATAAAATAATGAGATTTTGCTAAACTCTGTAAAGCATTACATGCATCTGCCATAAACAATCTCTGTTATAGATTTAGGTCTTATTGCCACATTGCTGCACTGAAGTGCAATAAACATTCAATGTCATCTTGTTTTAAATTATTTCAGGAGTAAACAGAAACTGACCTCTATAAGAGTGTATCATTATTTTCAAGGAAGACTTACTATTATTACATGGTTTAGCAAAGCATTGTAAAAAAGCTACACAGAGAGTACCTTGTCTTTGATAACTGTGCAATCAGATTTATACAGGATACTGTTCACAGAGACTAACAAACTAAGAGATGAAAGAATGCATCATTGCATAGCAAAAGAAAAAAGCAGACTAGTTAAGTAATATTCATCTCTAATGTGCCAAGTGCAGGCTGAGAGGAGCCAAATGGATAAGTCTGAAGGTCAAATGCCCTTTATGAACACACTAGATTAAACGCCAAAATAACAAGATAAACAAATACTGAAGTGAAATTCATATTTTATTTTGATTATTTTTCTATACATGTATCTACACATAATACCAGAAGATAACACATCCTCTTTAGTAAGCTTCAGTCAGATTAGCTCATCAAGTTTAGACAGGACTAAATGGTAGACAATGAAGCGTTAGGGTTTTGTTTTGTTTTTAAAGTCACCTTTTCTAAAGAAAAAGTAAACTATTTCATTTGTAGATACTAACTGTGCAGCAACCTTTTGATTTGTTGAGAAATAGTATATAAAACATTGCCTGTAACATATATAGATATCAATTTCACAATTGTGTTAGCTATTTTGACTGAAGGTCCATACAACTTTTTTTAATATGCATTCACTACCATGTGTTATGAATTCTGAACCCTTATATTAACATCTTCCCAAATCCATGCTTCCACTCAATTTTTTTTCTTAAATATTCATCTTGGTAATTTGATTTCTCCCCCTCTTTAAAATATTTTTTCAGCAGAAATAAACCTGGGTAGAATTATTTTGGGAATACCAATAACTTGAAAAATGGACATTTTGTATTTAAAGCCCTTACATATTGTTCCTACAAATATATTGCTACAGTAAAAATGAAATGTAATAAGTTTTACTCAATAAAATGTATTTTCCTGTACATTCGTTTGTGTATGTTTTTTTTTCTGTATTTAATGCTACATATATTACATCACTTATTGTTAACAGTTATGTTTCAGCAAATATAGCAATAATATACAGATGACGTTTGTCTTAAATATTTTACCATTTTCCTACCAAATATAATTCCATATTTTTGTATTCACGCATTACCTGAGCATACCAGTCGTTAGCCTAATAGTATAACTAGATGATAAATTTCAAATTGCAAGCTATTGTACAGATAATCACTTTACAAATGGAATATATCCTATTCCAAGCTCTCTTCCTTGTCTTTTTTTTCCCTCCCTTTTCTTTCAAATGCCACTGACTGTTCTTAAAAAAAAAAGTGCAGGTTCTAAATGTTTCTTTTAAAAATGCAACCTATTAAGAGTTCAGAGAACTAACCCCCACACGGCATAATATGAACATAAAAAAGTAAAAAAAAATGTACAGTCTCATGTAGTATATTTACACATGTTGTTGAAATAATACATTTTGTCTTTCTTTTTGCCATGTGTTGCAACCTAAAACTTTTCAGTGCAATCTCTCTACTTATTGACTTGAAGATATGGCCCCCAAAGTCCCTGGATAATTCTCAGGTCAGGGTGCTCAGGACTGCAAGCCTCATGTACCATCTGATCAAATAATACATTCAATGTACCTAGAGATTGTTAAAGATTGTTTTCCTTCGAAAATAAACAACCAAATCAACAGAAGCCTTAATTTCAAATACAGAAGCAAAAAAGAAGAATCGACCCTGTATTGTTTTTATCTAACAGAAACAAAGAGATTTAGATCTGCACTGAATGTGCCATGGATTGATATTATCAAGTCAAGTGACCGTCTGATGTTTAAAATAAGACTGAAGTGAGAGAGCATATTAAAGCATTCATTATACGAATCGATGTGCTATTCTGTGAGAATATCTACCATTAGGAAATAGACTGTTTTGTATGTAAATATGAACATTTAATTTGCTTTAAAATTGGTGGTTGGGAAGTTCAGCAAATAGGAAATCTAAGAAAAATACTATATTTTCTGGAATCCAGCACTTTGGATAGATGCATATCCTATAAAAGAATTCAAATAAGCAGCACTCCAAAAATTGAAACTAGAATACCTTATGTGCAACATGAACATATATAAAGACAGTTTTACCTTCTATCATTTTGCATAAAAATATTTCTGCTCTGACATGTACAACATCCCTTCTGGGAACATCCAGGGGTAAGCTATTGACAATTGATTTAGATTTATTTTATATTTCCCTCCCTTGTTCAAAGTCACGGTTCAGAATCTGGTGTCTACATCACATTATTACAGCCCTAGAATACAGTGTTTAATATCTTTTCTATTATATATATGTATATATATATATAATATACTTTTGCTTTATAAAATAAGGACATCTCAATTTTGTTAAGACAGAGGCAATGAAGCAAATGAGAACTGCTGTGTGTTTAGAACCAAAAAGCAATTCCCAGTGCAAAACAGATGGACAACTCTTATGGATGATGGGGCTAGTGTGGAGGGTTTTTGTCCTTAAGCTGGGGCTCTCTATTTAAGTAGGTAGCCCAGTACACTAAATTAAAAATCCCAAAGAGCAGTGGGAACGCTATTCTTGATAGTCGATCAATTTTGCTGACACTGTTAAACGTTTTCTTGGGTTCAGGTGGCTTTGTTTCCGCTTTCACGTCTTTGGGCTCTATCGTTGCGCTTTTAGCAATGGTAGCTAGTCCAGGGTCTCTTGCAATATTTGGGGTAAAGCTGGTTGCAGGTGCTGGTGCTGTGAACGAGTTGTTTTTCATAATGAGAGGATCCTTCACTTTCTTTGGCTAGGAGTAAAGAACACAATTTTAAACAACACATCATTTCACCCATTTAAAAGTATTACCACTCTGGAATGTGAATACTTGGTTCAGCTCAGATATCATTCAGATAGCCACGTATAAACAGATCCCCCCCCCGCACCCTTTGTCCAGATATTGTATGTTGTCAAATAGGAAAGGAGAAAACAGAATCAGGAATATTCCATATTTTCTGTTGAGAAACCAGTGCTTGTTCAGCTGTCACCAAAGAGACATTTCATTTGGTCAAAATGGTTCCCATTCTGGCTTATCATAGATAGATAAAGTTCTTTTTCTATAAGTTTAGAACTATAAGTTCTGAAAAGTGATATGAATGGAAAACTTGTGCTTTCAATCAAAAGACCATTGTGAATGGTTGATGCAGTGAGTTTTAAAAACTAATAATCAAATTAAACCAGATTTTTTCTTATTAGAACCTATGGACAGTCCGCTAGAAAAGATTCATACACGATATGGCATATATACAATGTAACCAACTATAATGTGGCTATTATACTGCTTTATTTCATTTAATATGATTAATTTTGTATATATTGATGATTAATTTTGTCCAGAAGATGCAATTGAATATTTGTACAGGAAATCATAGGTATTCATTTCAGGGGGACCTGAAATTATAGACACAAGGACAGAAGAGTGAAGATCCATAATGGAGGAATGGATGATGAAGATGGCAGAGCTTTCAGAAAAGGCTAAACTGTCTTGTTTTATTTTTTTTTTAAAAAGGAAGGACTATTGCCTTTTCAAAGATTGGAAAACTTTATGGACATTTTTCTGAGAATGGGTAAAAACA